TGCCACATGACTAAGTATATGTTGCTTACTATGTTTCAGTAACATAGTTGTTATTTTAAGCATTACTTAATCCCGACAATTTCCGCGGCTGCACTGGAGTTGGGTATCTGCATCTGATGAGAACTTATGAGGTCGAAATAGCTATCATGCAAGTCCCAATGTTTCTGCCGGTAATGCCCAAAACCTAAGAGTATTTTTAAAGCTCCCCTGTCTTTGCCAATACTATTTTTCATGTCAGAATTCACTAACTGCATAAGTTTACGTGTTCCAAAGAGATTATCATAACTTCGCCCCCGCGTCTAATGTATTTATGATGATCGACATTTTACGACAGCACGTATAATCGGTTAAGAACAACTAACAGGCGAACGATTTGTCAACCGTTCTAGATGGTCCGTTTGCCACTAAGACTGATTTAATAGGAGTAGGAATGCGGCTAAGCTGAAAATCATTAAAAATAAGAATATCAGCTTTCAAATATTTTCCATAATCTTTTCTGTTTAAGTAAGTTTGTAGACTTTTGAACTTAATGGGTAGTGAAGAAACCCTAATTCAATCAACTTTAAGTACGTAAAACAGCCCACTTCATGGTAAAATATAAAGGTACAAAGAACGTTGCCCCTCGATCAAATAATTTTTCTTTAAACCCAGAACCATTAATACATCACCGAGTTTTGACAGATTTCATTTTGTTTTACTGCAGGAATTGAACATTCAGGTCAGTCACCTAGAAACTCGACTGAGTAAGGGGCAAGCAGCTACTGGTTCTACAGGCAAACTGGCTCTGGATGTTTTGATTCACACGGAATCAAAATTTGAGTCAGCCGAATCTCTTTTGCAGGATTTGGAGACTTCCTGCGGGTGCAAGCGCATTCCAGTTCCTAGTCTCAAGGGTAATCTATTTTTTACCTTTTCCAATTAATCTACCAATCTTTTCGGTATGCATTTTTTCTCTATATTGAAGCATATTTTAATGAAGAAAGGCAAATGATCAATAAGATGAAGTTGCCACTCTTTTCCTTGAAAAAAATTCACATCTTCAGGGAAGTTATGCATTAAGTCAGCTTTGAACATATCAACTATCCTACCAAAAAGACTTATGGTGATTTTAGGTAGTAATGGGGTTAGTTGCGAACTAAACTCGTTTAAGTCCCTTTCAGTTTGGGGTCGTAGGACTTATTTGCCTTAGTTATGTGCTCAAAACTGAAATAGTTGGTGTCTATTTACTCATAATTTAATGGGTTTAGTTCTACAGCTGTGCTGGTGCTGTCTCACTAGTAGCATATTACGTAGAATAAAACTGAACTACGGATATTCCTTATACCCTCCAGATGTGGAAGTGGTTCCATGGTTCCCGCAGCGAATCGAGGAACTGGACATTATTTCAAACCATGTGTTGATGTATGGCACAGAACTCGATGCCGATCACCCGGTAAGTCTCCTTCGTTAAATTTTGCTAATTGGTTGAAAATGAGGGGACTCGACCATTGGAATAAGGATTGTAGTTGCCTGGCTTTTCGAACCCATCAGCAGAGAAATCAGACAACGTTATGAAACGCACGTGGGACGCGATTGCTGCATCAGCAGATACCCGGGAAAATTAGAATCTCCCACAGTCACTGAAAAGGTCTGCATTTGCTCGAAAGTCTGCGCGTTGTGAGAGACGTCGTGATGACAGTTGCTTTTACATAACCGAAACGAGTTCGAGTGGTTTGTTGTTGGTTTTTTTGCATTGCGCGAAGAGTGCCGCCTGTAGGGACCCCCTATTGCGTTGGCCAAAAGAGTGGCGTGTTCAAGTGGTCCTGAAGAAAGCGCGACTATTTGGGCACGTGCGTGTGCGCGCCTGTCTGTGCGAGTGGAACTCGGTCATGGGTTTTAAGGTCAGCCAGTCGGAAAACGCTCCCTGTGAAGTGGCGTGACCCTGAGGCAGTGGACTTTGAACAAGGAAGTGGGACAGCATCGTTAACCGTCCGCCATGGCTACGAGCTCTTGTGAGGCTGATGCTAAAGCTCGTGCCGCTCCAGCAGCGAACCGACCACAGTCTCCCTCAAGCAAGCCACGACTCTCCATAAGACAAAGTACAATCGGAAACAGTAAAAAAAACATTAATAATAGTATTTGTTTGTACGCCGATCTATCTCTCAGGATGTGCCCATCCTGGATTTATGCTTTTGCGAGTCAGGTCAACCGATTGTGTTTCGCAAAGCTACTACTACTAATAATTTATATGATACTAGCCAAGTGTAAGTAACACATCTTTTTTATGTTAGTATTACGGCAAGATAGGCAAACCGCAGGATAGCTATTTCGGGCTGTTGGCCCTCATCAGCTACGGGCAGCCAACTCTACATTCACTCTACATTTTTCAGCCACTATTTTGTTCAATAATTCCTTAGCGTTTGGTGTTAACAACTTTGGTCCCCTGTGTGTGTGGTATAGACGGTTAGTCTGCGTCTACTCTTCTGCATCTGGGTCCAAGAGAAGTATGCGACGGCTCCCAAAAAAAACACGCAACAAAAACAGCAAGGCAATACCTTTTACCCTTAAATATATTGAACTATACTGCACTGAATTATTGCAAAGTGTGTGTTCTTGTCCTTTTTCGTCGTTTCATCATCATTATTATATCTAAAAGACCGTATTGACAGAACGTAAAACATCTAACGCGCGTACCCTTCTTGATCTCCAGAGTAATCTAAGAACGACAACGGCGGAATAGGGCTGTAGACAAAAAGGTTTGACTTTCCCTGGAAGAAGTGCTGCTTAGTGAACCAACGGTTCACAGCGAACTTCCATAACGAACCCGTTTCTGCTACCGTTTTCCGCTAATGTCTCTGATGATGAATCCGCGAAGGATGTCGAAACGTTAGGCGACTAAAAGTATTGTCCCAACGATCGAGTTTTCTTCCTCTCGAACCTGTGCTTTTTGTTTTACAGGGATTTTGCGATGAACAGTATAGGAAGCGACGGAACGAGTTCGCTGAAATTGCCTATAAATATAAGCAGTAAGTCTCCATACTGTTTTGCTTAAAGCTGCCGATCCTCACAGGAGTAGCACCAGTATTAGTAATTGTTTGATTATCATTATACTTTTATAAATAGCCTGTCCAAATCGAATGGCTGTTTTACGAGAGCTTGATTTAGGTCTCATAAGGAAGTTGAATCATATTCAATCCACCTTTTGGCTTTACTAGAGGCTGATAAAAGAATCTTCCAAATATTATTAACATACCACGACCGGCATCTACATGATCTTACTGCAGCGTCTTCGAATAGCTGTTAGTACATAAGTTTATTCGTTACAATTTGTGATTTTCACGTAACATTATAAGTGATATATCATCACTTTTAAGCGAACTCAGCGCCAGATTGGCTCTTTATTCTTTTAGAGAATAATCGGGTCACTGGCAAAATTAAAAGCTATGAACAATTCCTAATAGTTGTTTACAAATTTAAGGTCTGACGTACTACGTACTAGCGAA